GCGAGCCACTCTGGCTCGACCCACCAGACACGAACTCAACTCTCGCTCGAGCGACCAACTCCTCGCTCGAGCGAAGGTCCAAAAATCTGGGCAGCAACACTAGGCTCCCAAACACAACCAACCTGCCCAACACATCCTATAACTCAATATACCAGTAAAAAGGATGCAAACAAGATAATAAACAACTACCAACATCCACGGACACATGTCCGGATCACTGTACAACAAGGGTAAACCCGGGATTGCTATAGTATAAGGAGGGGACTTTAAATTGAGTGAAATTTATTTATTACAAAAAAGAAAGAAATAATGTTAAAAAGTGAAATTTAAAAAAATTATTATGAAAAAAGTGATGAATGATTCAAATTTAATATTTACATCATGAGATTCAAATCTAAAAGGAAAAGGAAAAGAAAAATTCTACATAAAAACCAAAAAGGAAAAGAATGAATAAAAACAATAATTTTTAAAAGGAAAAGAATAAAAAAAAAATGACTAAAAGGAAAAAAAAGGAAAAGAATAATAAAAAAGGAAAAAAAATAATGTAGGGGAGGGGATCAAGTCCGCGACGTTGCTGTCGCCAATCACGATCAAGTTCCTTCCATCTCAGCTTCCCGCCGTTTGGAGGGGAGGGAATTTTGATTTTTTTTTTTATTTTCTGAGTTTTATTTCAATCTCAGCTTCCCGCATATATATATAGGGGAGAGGAGGGGAGGCAGCAATTGAAAGCTTTGATAACAGAGGAGAGGGGGAGGGAGCTTTGATAACAGAGGGAGGGGGAGGGAGCTTTGATAACAGAGGGGAGGGGGAGGGGGCTTTCATATTAACATGGATATGATATTGATACAGCAAATATGTGTATCTATTGTGAAGTATGGAAGTGTTTTGATATGAGTTGTTATCTCATCTGGAATGGAAGTATTGTTGTTATGACTTGTAGTCTCATTTAATTGTTTGGCCAGGTTCTGAGCCATGTTTATGAACTGAAAATTGGTTAAGTAAAGGAAAGTAAAATGAAACATGGACATATCTGTCATGGAATTGGATTGTGCTGAAAGTTGACTGACCAGTGTTAACATTTATCGAATACTCATGTTTTAGTTATTGCCCATATTATGTTTAGCATATCTCTACTGGGCGTTGGCTCACCCTATATGGGACATCATTTTCAGGTACAGGTGATATGCCGCCTCCAAGGACGTAGCTTGAGAGATTGTAGAAGCTGAAGGCTTATTTTGTTATTATTTTGTGTGTCACATGTAATTCAAGTCAAGGGCTTAATATGTTAGAGTTAGAACTCTCTTTTGTTGAACCCAAGTGTTGACTTGGAAAGTTGTAAGCCCATAAGACACTTACTTTTGTTGTCAACATGTAACACTCTTGTATTGAATACTCTGATAAATAGAACTATGCTTTATTCTCTTAATTTATGGATGTCTTAAATGTATGATTTATGGGTTTATTTTGAGAGCGTTACAATATCCAGAATAGTCTTCCTTCTCCCTTCACCTCTAGAGGAATTCGCAGGATAGAAAAAATTCAAAACTTTATGGGTGAGCTTGAAACTAAGTTGTCTTTGCTTTCTAGCTCTCAAGCTTATGCTTCTTTATTGGAATGCAAGACAAACAATTATGATCATTTTCCTTTCTTCCATTGGGGGTTGGGAGAGTGGAGATTGGAAATAACAAGTTGAAAGAAGCACAAGCATGCTATAGTCCAGCCTCACCGAACTGGGCTCCCAAAAAAGCCTACATCCAAATACACAATGACTGCTTCTTACACATTGCTGAGATAAAATTTGAGATTGAACGGAACACATAACTTGCCCAACTTGGGAATCAAGACCAATCTAAGTGTTATTTCATTGGACGGCTTTCAGGCATAACACATACAGTTAAGGCCTGCAGAGTCTCAACTTGAAAAGTACAGATGTAAAGTCAGAGTCATTTTTCATCTTGAAAAGTAGAGGAAATTTTATAGTTTTGCAAATCAGATAAATTTCTAAGTCAACAACCCTGGTCATCAAGAGGGGAAGGGGGGAGAGATTTGTACCTGCATATAATTGGCTCCAAATAAGGCACCATTTCCTAGTTGAAATTGTGTCCTGTAATCCTTACCCTGTACATATGAAAAATGAGTCAAGAAGACTAGTAACAGCATCACAACTGAAGGAACCATAGTGTGCTTCAAATTAACAACTAAGAAGAGTTCTACCGATAACTAATAACTACATATAAAACGATTAGAACCTATTATGAGACATACACCATGCCTACTCCTAAACAAAAAACAAAACTTCAAGATTTGGGTACATTAATTTATATTGGTTATGGGAATAAAAGCAATGCACATAAAGGCACACACATGAACAAGCAAAAAGATGTTGATAAGTAAAAGCAATTGACCTTGTAATCAAAATTGAACATGCCTTGTGACATATGTGGTTCATTTGTAAGCTGGAAAAGAAACGCAAAGCTTGTTAAGTACAGAATATTCCCTTTGCACAAAAACCAAAGAAAAAAGAAAAAGTACCATATGTGATAATCAACCTACTTACTTGAGCATTGGCCTTCAAAGCAAGATTTTCAGACAAATCACACTTTAGTCTTGCATTCAGCCTCCCATCAGTTAATATTCTACCAAAAAGCATCAGCTGTGGACACCGTCAAATGTTCCCTTAGTTAGATTGATTATCATAAAAATCAATTAATTGCATGGTGATGGAACTAATTACATACCTTTGGGTCTATAAAGTTAGCACCAAATTCATAGTGAGCAGTGGGAATCTTAATGGTTTCAGAAGACTGAGAAGGAATTTCAGTAGGTCCCATGAACACACTGATGAGAGTTGGACGAGGCACAGAAAACAGAATCAACAAGCCTTGAGTAGGAAATAAAAACTACATGGGAAATTTCAAAAAAAAAAGAAAAAAAGAAAAGAGAATGCATGAAAAAAATATGAAAATGCAGATCCACCTGTGACTGAGTGAAAATCTCTGATTAAGTCCTTTGGTAAAATCAAAGCGCATTCCCTCAAACAATTCTGGCTTTAAGGACACTGCAAAACCATTTTTTAAGATAATCAACATCCATGTAATGAAGGAAAAACCACCCCAATAGCTCCAGTGACATGCAATCCTTGTACAAGTTAATTTCATCATAGAACTCTAATATTCAGGAGTATCAAACACCTATTCTGCAGTATTTCAAACCACATTGCAATGACCAAAAGCTGCTGTAATGAAATCACAGTCAAAGTAAAGTAAAAGTGGCTCTCTTTCGGTTCTCAAATCAAAAAACACGACAACTTTTGCTTTTCATTATATCCAAGCGATCCCCAACAAAAGTTCTTCCTCCACCATTGCATTGCCCACACAGAATCATACTTCTTTTGACCACTACTTCAGACATGAAAACTTGCAATACAAACTTCTGTATCTGAATCAAACCCTTTTCCTTTCTCATCAATTTGTTCATATGCATTAAACGTACATATAGAAGGGGAAGAGAAAAAAAAAAACCTTTCAGTTTTGAATACATCTAGGGTTTTTGAATTAGGGTTTAACACAAAACAACTTATAAAGCATACATTATTCTAAACCATTTGATTCCAACTAAATTCCATCAAAATACAATCAAAGAGTAAGAATGAATCGAAAACATTATTAGTGATTAAATGGACAATAATACTAACTGAGTGCTTCGCGGTTGATTTCTTCGTAGGGAATAGGGCAAGGCAGGTTCAAGTAATCGACTTTCTCCGGCGGGATCACAGCCGGCGGAGTTGTGGTTGTGGCAGTGGGAGGGACGAGTGTGGCCATTGTTTTGGTTCTCTTTTGGTGAGGTTATGAACCCAAAAAAACCAGAGACTGAAGCTCGAAGAAGACGAAATTTGACTGCGGCTAGAGAGAGAGAGAGAGAGAGAGGTTTGTAGTGTGGTTGGTTGTGGTTGGTTGGTAGTAGAAAGACTACAATGGAGGTGAGAAGAGCAGCAAAAACCCTCCTCCAAACAATGTAAACCCCTTATGGGCCTGTTTGGTTAAAGCCCTACCCGTTCCTTCGGATGCAATGCAACATCTCCAACAACATTTTAAATTTTTTTATTTTTAAAAAAATTACCAAAATTTTATTTTTAATATGCATTGCTTTTAATTTATTTTCAATTTAAATCATCAATATTTTTTATTAGGTAATAAAATTGACCAAAAAATTAAATGTGCATTGTTTTTAATTTATTTTTAATTTAAATCATCAGCCTTTTTCGTTAGGTAATAAAATTGACCAAAAAATTGTATTTTAGTTGTTATATTCCATGTAAATATACCTAAAATATTAATTTTTATTGAGTTTAATTGCTAAAATATTTTTTTTTTGTCAATTTTACTTAACGGAAATAGTAATAGGCAGATAGTTTAGATTGAAAACAAATCAAAAATTTATGATTTCAAATGACATAATTAAAAGTTCAGAATTTATTTTGTTATAAGAGTCAAACTTTTTTTATATAATTTTTCTTTATTTTTTTTAAAATATGGTCAAAATAACAATTTAAAATATTTTCTTTTTTATTTACTTTAACTATTTATTTTAGCAATTATTTTTCAAAATATTCTCTTACATTTAAAAAAAAAATATCATTTTTTGAAGTTTGGCTTTGAGGCTGAGTTTATTTAGGATGAAAGTGGTAAAAAGTGAAATAATGGAGAAAAATAAAATTTTCTAAGTTTGATTAGTATAAAAGTAGTGAAAGTTACAAGAAAATTAATAATAGTATGATAACTAAATTTCTACTTTCTTACAGAAAAATGTTATAAAAGTAGTTATTTATAATTAGAATTCTTATTTTTTTTGCAAAATTTTCATCCTAATCAAATTCATACAAAAAATATATAATTTCTTTTATCTTTCTTTCTCTTTTCTTTTAATTCACTTTCTACTATTTCACTTTCCATTATTTATTTCTTTATAATCAAAGAGAACCTGAGTGATTAGAGAAACGGTGAAAATAATATAAAATTCAATACATAAAAAATTTAGAAAAATATGAAAATAGTATTTGAATAACCAAAATTTTAAGAAAAGCAACTCCAACGATGAGGCATTGGAGTTGCTTTTTCTATAAAATAGTATGGAGTTTAATTTTTTTTCATCTCTAACGGTGAGTAATCATAGCTACTAAATTTTATATTTGCTATATCATCTATCAAATTTAGCACCAGTTTTACCTATAATTAAAGCTACCAGTAAAACAATTTTGGGAGACCAGTGGTCGACCACTTGGTGAAATTGCATTGCAAAATTTTGAAACCAGCCAATCGTTCGATTGATCGTCCAGTTAAACTAAGAAATAGCAATTTCACCGTTGGGGCAGCGTTGCTATTCTATAACTATTTTGTACTATCACTGTTAAATTATAGGTTTAGCTATACTTTTTACCAATTGACCGTTGGAGTTGCTATTAGAAAGCATCTCAACAATGGTTAGTCAAAATAACTAGCTAAAATTCATTTTTTGTATTTTAGCTATTCACTTTTCCAATACACATTCCAACAACACTCTATTTTAATTATTTTAAAAAAACATTATTTATTTCATTTTTTAAATATAATTATATTTTTTTGAACAATCATATTTTTTAATTTACAAATTTATGATATACATGCTCTAATTATGAAGATTTGTGGTCTTAGTTATAAATTTTGTGGTCTTAATTATGGTTTTATTTATGAGATTTTATTGCGTTTAAATTTATAGTGAATTTGGTTATGAAACTTTGTGGTGATTAATTATGAATTTTTTTTTATATTTATTTATTGTGATCTAAATTAATTTTAAATATTGTTACTTTGCAATGTACAATCCTTCATTTCTATATATTTGTAGTTTTAACACTTAAAGGGATTACCTTGAGAGAGAAGCGAAAAAGGAATAAAATGTATAAAATATTAGAGCATTAGTAGACAGTTGCTCGTCTGTTCTAGGGATGCACTGTAACAATCGGGCGAGCCTACTAGAGAAAATTTTGTGGTGTTTTGAGAAGTTGATAAAAAGTTAGGTTGTGTTTGGTTGTGATTTCAAAATGTGATTCAACGTGGTAGTTTAGTATGGTGTTTGGATGGAACTGTGGAATTAATTTTCCATAGCTCTGCAAAACGCTCTGTCTGTTCTGTCAAAACCGAGCGCGTGTTTCAATTTTTTTTTTCAAAACGGGACATTCGGCCGGTTGACCGGAATAGTGATTTTTTTTTTTTTTTTTTTTGCAATTGATATATAATCGAAAAAAATATTTTCTAAAATTTTTAAAAAATTTTATGTGCTTTAAAATAATTTTGAGTTGTATGAGTTGTAAATTTTTGTATCAAATTTCAAATGTCACATCAATAATTTTCCAGTCAAATCAAAACTTTTTTCAAAATTATTTTCAAAACTCTTTACCAAACAAATTTTTTACACTCAAATCATAATTTCACAACACACAAACTCAAAATACAACTCATACTCTCAAATCATATTTACAAAATTCTACCAAACGCTACCTTAATTTTTTAGTTTTTTTAATCTATTTTATCTTTTTTATAAATAAAAAATGTAAGAGATGATATGACCTAAAATAAGTAAAAAATTAAAAGCTTTGCAAAGGACTTATATAAGTTTTGAATAGCTAAAGTAGCCAAATGAATGATTTGGCTACTGTTTTGAAGATGCTCTTAGACAATTGACGTTTTTTTTATTTATTCTAATTATTTCGTTTGTTTACTTCCCTGTCTCTGTCTCTGTTTTTTTTTTGGTGAATTACTTTTCGAAAAATGTTATAAATCTTAAATTTTCTACCAAATAAATGATCAAATGTCTCACATAGATGTGAAATTCACAAATGTCATTTATTTGGTAAAATTTAGTAGAAAATTTAGTATTCCTAACATTATCCTTACTTTTCTGCCTCTTGTTTGAAAGAAAAATGTGATTTAAATAATTAATGAACAATAACTGTACTTCGTGCAAAATAACTAATTACTTTGGCTACAAGCGTATTTTAATTAGTCACTAATTACTTTAGCCATAAGCATATTTTAATTAGTCACTTGTAGATGTTTTAAAAGTATTTATAAGAGCTAATCCCAAAGATAAGGTATAAGGGCTATATTAGTCATTTTCACTAGTAAGGTTGTATTTATCTTTCTCAAACAGGTTCTCCGTTAGAGTATCTGCATCAGTCTCAATCAAATTATAACTCAAAATCTACTTTTACTATTTTAGTTAGTCACTTTTTTAGTACTCACTGCATCAAACTCTCTATTCAAACTCAATTCTATTAAAATATTATTTTCTTATTGTATTTGTTATTTTTTCTTTTTTATTAAATTGATGAGGTGCCACTCAAACAATTCTTAAAAAATGCACCCAAAAAAAAAAATTGTTATTGACCGATCGACCGGTTAGGCTAATTTTGGGCATTTTTCTTTTTCTGCTACAGGCACTCACGGGACATTCGTGTCGACATTCGGAAGGATGTCCAATGGGTGAGAAAATATAATAAAAAATATATTAACCTGTCTCAAAAAAATAATAAAATATTGAATAACTAATGAATAGTTTGTTGAGGTACTGTCGCAAATTTAATAAAAAGCTAATTTAAAAAAAAAATTGTTAAGACTGATGGAGGAAAATTTTTATAATTTACTATCTATATTTTACTTTTTTTACTATTTTACCTCAGTTGATGTGAATGCTCTTACCCGAGGCATTTTGCCAACTTTCATTTGGACTCGAGGCTTTTCCCAAACTAAGCCTCTTTTGCATCCTATTTCCCAAACTAGGCCTCTTTTGGACGTATTTTCCAAACTAGGCTAAAGCGCTATTCGGAATAGCGCTTTCACTGTTTGGAGCCCAAAATTTTGTGAATAGTAAAAACGCTATTTCAAATAGCGATTTTAATTAAGAAAACGCTATTCCAAATAGCGCTTTTATCATAAACTTTTCTTGCAAATAAAACGCTATTTTTAATAGCGCTTCATTTTTGGAACAAGGTTCCTAAGAAAACGCTATTTCGAATGGCGATTTCAATGTCCATTCCGTTTGTGAAGAAAACGCGATTCCGAATAACGTTTTCTTAGTTAAGTAATGAAACAAGAGGAAGGTGAAACACTAGGTGTTTGTGTGCAATAGTAAGGCACAAAACACCTAGTATGCAAAATGAGAGGAAAAGAGAGACAGGTTGTGTATGTCTAACCCTAACCCTAGAAAACCAGAGCTCTCCTCTGTCTTCTCTCCTCAAAAATGTCTAAAAGCTCTCCTCTAAGACTTAGAGAGAGCTCCTCTCTATATGTCTCTTGTAAAGCTTACAAGACAAGCTTTGCAAGAGGGAGATCCCTCCATACACGTGTATGGTGGGGAGCAAAAGCTATACAGCTGTCCAAAAATATCTGCAAAAGCAGATGAACAGCAATCGGCCGGCAAAAAATGCCATCTTGGCCAAACAAAGTGCCGACCGGCACAAAATAGTGCTGACCGGCAACAAAGAGTGCCGGCCGGCAAACTATATTGCCGGTGGCAGCAAAAACCAGCCGGTGGCACCTAGCCACTGCCGGTGATGGGTGGGGATGGTCTACAAGCCCCACCTTGCCTCTCAAGGGCAAGATGCAAGTGTTTGGTGCAAAACCAGACACTAAACGGTCGAGTTCGGGGATCCTGAGGCAAGGCGCGCGAGCCGAGACCTCCGGGAACTCCAAACGAACACAAACATGGATAATCACCGTGTGTTCAAACAGTGACGTCCAAGTCTTGAGGACGGTCAAAAATGGGGTGTCTACTGTGTGCAAACAACCCTTGAGAAATAAACTGTTTTTCTCTGTTTGCTCTCTGATGCAGCAAGGAAGTCTAGGTTATCAGTGGTCGATAACCACCATCAGTGGCCAACAGGCACCACCAGTAGCCGACCAGCCACTAGTGGTAGCCGACCGGCCCCTTGTCAGCCATCAGTGAAATTTGCACAGTGTGTTGGTAAGGTGGAGCTGAGGTGTTC